CTGGGAGTGTTAATTCTCTGGTACTTGTAATTCCATGGTTCTGGCAAGTCTTTTGGCACAGAGAGACAGACGCTGGTCATTGGAGGTCACCTAGAGCTACTGAATAGTGAGATTCGAGGAATATGGCTGCAGCCTTCGTGGAATTTGGTACAGTGGCAGGTGGAGTTACTGCCAGTGGTCCAAGTATCTGCACATGGAAACCATCCTTATAAATAAAACATTCATGGAACACTAATATAGGCTATTAATCATCTAGTCATAGATTGCCAGAGGTTTGTCTAATGCAGTTTTCATTTTGTAAATCAGGACATTAAAATCCAGAGAGTTTTAATGACTGGCTTAATGTCATAGAACCACATTTGGCACTGTCATCTCATAATTTAATGAATTATGAGGCAATATTTGTTTATCATTAATTTGAAGGTTGGAAATGTAAATAGAAACAAACAAACAAACAAACAAACAAACCCAACATGTAAGGATGTGGGCACACAAGGTTCAAAACGCTTAACCTCCACTTTCAGCACCATTTCTGCTGACCGACCTACCTGTGAGACATCCTTTTATGACCTCCAATAGTTTAAAACAGTTTTTACTCTGCTCTTTACACCCTCAAAATTTGCTTGGATAAAAGGTCTTAATTTTATTGATACTAAGGTATACATGATTAAACTACTCTATATTGAAGTATTTGCTCAATAATAGAAAGTAGTCTTAAGCATCAGTTTAACATTTTCCATTATGAGAAAGTTAATTTGGGGTTGTGGAGGTCTAAGACTAGTTTTAAGTATTCATACACATTGATTGTCAACATACTTTTGAAAAGCACTGCTTATCTGGTAGCTTAAAGTACGTTACATGAGATTCATTTAGCCTGGGAACAATGGTGATCTTTAGAAGAAGAACTCAGTATTTAAAAACTGGAATTCTGGGGCCAACAGGTGGAGGAGTGGTTAAACCACTAGGCTACCACGTGGCTGACCACAGTTTGAATCCTGGACCTGGCTGGTGCACGTGCATGCATGCCCAAAATCCCAAGAGGAGAATGGAGGACAAGGGATTGTGGCGTGACCTGCCCCCCTGGGATGTGATTTCCTGCTTTCTATGTCTCTGTGTCTCTGGTGAGCATATATGTCCTATAGCAAAAATCTCTCAAAAACAAAATAAAACAAAACAAAAATCCCTGGAATTCAATGAGTCATTATGTAATCATCACTAGAGTTTTATAATTTGGAAATCTATAATTTTTTTATCATATTGGATGATATACAAAGATCTTAAATTTCTATAGAAAAATCTCTATTTTTTAATCATAAACTAACAGAAATAGAAATTGCTCAGAGAGTATGAGAAAATATGTAAAACTACATATAATAAAAATTTTCAGTATTGTAATGTTTCACCAAATTATGTTTTTTTTAATAAGGATTAAATAGCATTTTACTATGTTCATTTTTTTTTTTTTTTTTTTTAAGTTTTCAAGTCTACTGTTTACCAGATAAAGATCCTAGGGGAATTATTTAATATATTTTTAAAATTTATAATTTTTAAATTTACTACATTGTTAGAAAGACATTTTTAGTCTTATGGAAAGGAATGAAAGGACATACTGAATTTATATAATGAATTTGATGGCTGTTTTACAAACATTTAGTAAATGTTTTTGAACTAAGAATGAGAGAATGAAC